TGCGGCTCAGGGCGGAGGCCCGTGCAGGCAGCGCTCGCTGTGTGAGGTGCTGGTTTATTTCCCACATGCTCTGCCCTGCGGTGTCTCGTTCCGAGTGGCTGACCCGCGGCTGCGGATGCTGCAGTTTGTTTTGTTGTTTTGACTTGTGACACTAACTGTTGTTTCCCCCGTGCCAAGAGCATGCGCCCTTTCCTACTGGCCTCCCGGCTCTGTGAGGCTCTGTTAGCCCCTCTCGCCCTTGAGCTTTTGCAGTCGCTTTGGTGGTTCGGGTAACCTCAGTGTGTGGGCCAGGCTGCCCCCGGGCCTCCAGCCTTCCTCCTGGCACTGCCCTCCCGGGGGGCTCCTTCCCGTCTCACCAGCTCCCATGCTGCTTTCTGACTGCGGTTTGGCTACTTGCCAACACTGAGCATGCCCAGAGAGCTGTGCCTGGCGCTCCGCGGGGCGCAGGCCTCCCAGCCTCCAGGTGCCCGCGCTCTGTCCTGGGTCGTAACTCCGGGTGTGAGAGCCCAAGCCTGTTTGGATTTCGGGAGTTCTTTTTCCTGGGGCTCCTCTTGGTGGACCTTTGCCCGCCTCCACGCACCCTCCTTCACCCTCCACGCACCCTCCAATGAGCTCAGGCCAGAACAGAGGGTCAGCAGCAGGATAGGAGGCCCCCGGGAATGTGTCCACCCCTTCGTCTCCATCTGCGGGGTCCCCGGCGGCCTGGGGAAGGTCTGCTGGGGGAGGCGGGACTGGGCGTGCTCACTGTCGGGAGGGCCGGGCGTGGGCTGGGCGTGGAGGGCCGCTGCTGTTTTCTCTCACTCGTTTCCCAGGTCTTCTTATCTCCTCTCTGTGTGGCTCTGGTGACAGGGACGATCCGTAAGGCTCAGAACCTTCTGAAACAGTATTCCCAGCATGGTCTAGATGGGAAAAAGGGGGGCTCTAACCTCATTCCTCTGGAAGGTAATCACCCCGTGTTCCTCTCCCGTTCCCTCCTCCTCCGTCGTGTGTTCACTCCCGCGGCAGGGCAGAGCCTCCAGCCCCAGGAGGGCCTCGGGGGGAACCCTGAGAGGGGACGGGTGGGGCTGCCCGTCCCTGTGCCACTCGCTCCAGCTGGCGCAGGGACAGGTTTTGTGGCCTTGGCCTGGTCCTGTCTGGCTGATGGCAGCTCTGCCCTCCCTGGGGCTCCCCTCCCCACCCCTCCCTGTCTCTGTCCTTGTCTCCTGTTTGAACTCAGAGAGAGTTCTTGGCCGTGGGCAGCCCTTTCATGCTGAGATCAGCGGTGGCAGGACCAAGCTGGCCTAGGCCTCCTGGTCACCCCAACTTTATGAGGGGGGAGGGGGTGCAGCAAGGGGACAGGCAGCAGGTCGGCACATCCCTTTCTCGTGTCAGGAGAATAGCCCCCCAGTCCCTCGCAGTGACAGTTCTCTAACTGGGTCTCCCGTGTCCGGCAAGATCACCCCCTGGGGCCAGGCATCGGCCGCTCCACGGCTGCCAGAAGCCCCTCAGCTCTCCTTGGCCTCGCGGCTTTCTCTTGGCCTCCGGGCTTGGTCCGGGCGCTGCAAGTCAGGCTTGAAACGGCTGTTCCCAGGGTGGCCCGCGGCAGAGGAGGGGCTCAGAGCCCCTCCAATGCCCCTCCCCAACACCCCCCTCACACCCTCCGGAGATCGAGGGCTTCTTCCCGGTCCCCGAGGCCAGCCCGCCCGGCCCCTGGATAAACGCTGCTTGTGTTTGTGCGGCTGACGTCTCGCTAGGTCACCAGCATGATTCCCGAGTTAAGCACCTGTCCGAGGCCCTGAACGACAAGCACGGGCCACTGGCCGGTGAGTACGCAGCCCAGCCCAGCCCAGCCGCGGGCAGCCTCCGCTGCCTTCCCAGCCGCCACCAGAGGGCCCAGAGGATGGGCCAGACCTGTCGCTCTCCTTCCATCTCGCTCTCCTTCGGGCACGAGGTCGCCTTGCCGCCCTCCAGCTGGGAGTGTGCACCCAGCTCTCAGGGCCTGGGCCAAGGGGAGAAGTGGCTGCTCCTTGGACGGCGGGCAGAGAGGGGAGGTGGCTCCCTGGAGGGCAGGGAGCCCAACACCGGCTTCACCAACAGCTCCGACTCCTGGGAGCCCGTCCCTGGGCGCATAGCACTAGGTCCCCTGGCCCAGCCTCCAGCCATGTGATCCAGCCTCCTCCTGGGGCAGCTGATAGCCAAGGAGCCCTCCCTCTCTGGGGCTCACGCTGCCTCTTAAACTTTAACCTCATAGGCCGGCGCCCACGGCCTTCCTACAGGTTCCGGAAGCCTGGCTGGGCTGGCCGCCGCCCTCGTAGGGCCAGCATTTTCTGAGATGGCTGTCTCCTTGGTGGACACTGCCGCCTGCCCCCCAGCTGCCCTCTTTCCGTACAATCCGGACTCCTCAATCCTGAGGCCATCCCCTCTCCAGAGAGTCCATTTAGGGATCCTCCTCTTCCCCTTTATCTGTCGCCCACACCTCCCACACCTGGCACCCTGGGGCATAAATCCCGCCCGTGGCAGAGCTCAGAGTGAAGCCAGGACAAAGGCTGGACCCAGCCATTTCCCCTTCAGCCCGTGGGGCCTGCTGGCGTCCTCAGCTCTCTGCCCGCACAGTCTCCCTCCTCCCCGTCTGCGGCCAGTCTGGACCCCGGCTGGGAGCTGGGGAGACCCTCACCCCGCAGCAGGGAGAGGGCTGTCCCCAGCTCAGCAGCTCAGCGCACCGCTGTCCCACAGGGAGAGACGACATGCTGGACGTGGAGACCGACGCCTACATTCACTGCGTCAGCGCCTTCGTCAAGCTGGCGCAGAGCGAGTACCAGCTGCTGGTGGAGGTCATCCCCGAGCACCATCAGAAGAAGACCTTCGACTCCCTGATCCAGGTGCTGCCCCGCCCGGGCCGGGGCCTTACAGAGCTGTCACCGCAGCCGGGCCGTGCCTGTGTCTGTAGCCACCTCCTCCCCCGCATCCTGGGCATCGGTCCTGGCGGTGTGTCTGGTCGGCACCTCCCATCAGAAGTGCGCTGCCTCCCCTCACCCCTCGGGGCGCCCTCACCGCCCCCGGGAGCCAGCTCTCGCCTCTGGCCCCCTAAGCCGTGTCCTCACCCTCAGGACGCACTGGAGGGGCTGATGCTCGAGGGGGAGAACATCGTGTCCGCTGCCCGGAAGGCCATCGTCAGACACGACTTCTCGGCAGTGCTCGCCATCTTCCCCATCCTGCGGCACCTCAAGCAGACCAAGCCCGAGTTCGACCAGGTGCTCCAGGTACGTGGTCGGCCAGGCGCTTGGGGGCGCGGGGAGGAGGGTGACAGGCATCCCCCGGGGGAGGGCAGAGGAGCAGCTGGAAGGAAGGGGCTGCACGCCCACCGGCGGTGGGGACAGTGGCAGCTCTGCCGCTCTGTGCCGCTCAGGGGACAGCCGCCAGCACCAAGAACAAGCTGCCCGGCCTCATCACCTCCATGGAGACCGTTGGTGCCAAAGCGCTGGAGGACTTCGCTGACAACATCAAGGTGATCTCCCTCCTCCCCCCGCAGGGCCGCCTGGCTGTGGGCAGGGTGTAGGCTCCGAGCGGGTCGGGTCTGCCGGAGGGATGACTCCTGTCAGCACCCATCATCGCCTCCTGCTCTGGGGGCTCCAGGCCTGAGATTCCTGCCCCCCCCCCTCGTTTTCTGGCACGTGCATCTCGCTCCCCTTTGTGCCTTAAGGGTGTCCTGACACCTGTCTGCCAAGAGGTGGCGCCAGGGGCAGGCTGAGGGGCTTGGGTGAGGTGGGGCCTCCTTGGGAGCTCTTCCAGGGAGTGGCTGTTTCCACAGAATGACCCGGACAAGGAGTACAACATGCCCAAGGACGGCACCGTGCACGAGCTCACCAGCAACGTACGTGCTGCCCGGGACCCGGCGGGGAGGTGAGGGGGGCCTCACCAGAACCTCGAAGTGCTGGGCACCCTCAGCAGACCCGACCTGCCCTCGAAGCCCGAACCCAAAGTGGGATCAGAGTTTGCAGCCACCGTTTTCACTCGGCAGCCCCGGGCCCTGGACGTGCCCTGTCACGCGGTGTGCGGTGGGAGGGACCTGGCCTCTGGTCCTGCCTTGACCTTCCTGGCCCCTTCCCCACACAGGCCATCCTTTTCCTGCAGCAGCTGCTGGACTTCCAGGAGACGGCAGGTGCCATGCTGGCCTCCCAAGGTACTTGGCCCCTCCCAGCGGGGCCCCCGGCCCCGTTCCCCCCTTCTCCCTCTTGCCTGGAGATGTGGGGTCAGGCCCCCAGCGGCACTGCCGCCTCTGGTGGAGAGCGCCTGCAGCCTGTGCAGTGGGGTGGCGACGTGGCCTGTGGCAGGACCTGAGCTGGGCCTTCAGGGCTGAGCGCCAGGAGAGCGGGTTTGACTGCCTTTCCCGCCCGACCTCTGCCCCTAGGCTCCCTCTGGGGAGCCCCGCCCTCCGTCCAGATTTCTCCCCCTTCTCTATGCTCGCCTGTCCCCCCATTGAGTCTCACACAGTGGACACTGGGAGGCTGTCATCTCGGGGGCAGCGTGGTATCTTCCTGAGGTTGGCACAGGAGGGTACACGCATTTCCAGCCGTTGCAAGCACTGAGACCCAGCCCGGCATGTCTGGCCCCCGGACCCCGCTCCCCCATCGGAGGGCACAGAGCCAGGGCCAGCCTCGGCCTGGGGCTCTCAGACCTCCACTTCCCTGCGTGCTCCCTGGTCCCCGCGGGTCTGGCTTGGGTGTGTCCCGCTGTCTGTCCTGGCTGTCGTGGGGAGCGGTCTGCTTGATGGGAGGACACAGCTGTTTCTAACCTGATTTTGCACTTTGCATCTTTCTCCCGTCTTTGTCTCCTCCTTCCCCTGTCGCACTGCTTTTCACTCCGTAGTTCTTGGGGACACATACAATATTCCTTTAGACCCCCGAGGTAAGCGGCGGGGCTCTGCAGCCCCATCCTCCCTCTGGAAGCCCCGGGAGTGAGGTTCCCTGGGGACAGAGGCCCCTGGCAGACTCAGCACCTGTTGGGGAGTGGGGGTCAGAGGGCACATGGTCCCTTCAGGGTGCTTCCCGCTCTCGCAGCTCCCTCACGGCCACTTTCTGTCTCTGAGGTTACTGGGACACCTCCAGCCCAGCCCAGCTCCTGCCTGCCCACCCGCGCCCACCTTGGCCCTCGCTCTGTGTAGGCAGGTCCCTCTGTACAGCAGGGCACCGTAGAGGAGGTGGGATGTAGGGAAGGGGGAGGCCATGGAGCCCATTCTGACTCCCATCCTGACAGGTGGGGTAGGTGGGCCTGGATGCCACCAGCAGGGGGCGGGCGTTGGAGGTCCT